TAATAATAGAGTATTTTGCATTAAAATATCTGACTACTTTTCGAGACTATGGCGTGTTATGTGTTATGTGATTTTTTTTATGGCTTTCTCAGTCTAGGGTAATCCAAACGGACCGTTTGGATTACCCTTGACTGAGAAAGCCATAACAAGTATAATCATGACATCAAAACAACGTTATAGAGGCTTAAACGAACTCTTAGGAGAAAAAAACACTGAGACAAAAAGTTACTACAAATCCATGTTAAAAAATAAATAAAAGTTGATTTTTTAGCAGAACATACACTTCGATTTATTTTTTTTATTTTCTGGCCAAATTGGATGCAACACCCACCAAATGAAAGGTACCATGACCCTATAGAATATTTTTGGAATCGGTCCTCTTGTTCCAGAGATAGGACCGTAAAATGTTCCGGTGTATATGGATCGTGAGTATAATCGGCCTGACTCATGTTAAACCCATCATGTGATATCAAATCAAGGTAAAATTCAAAAAGAAGACCAATGAGCGGGTAGGACTGAATTGGACACATCTGGACATGTTCCATATACCCCAGGGGAAGGGTCAATTTCTGACTTGGGCCGAAATTCATCATTCGACACCTCAAATCACATGAGAATCAGGAAACAAGTACAATGGTGGTTATATCAAGTGCCCAGCATCACACTAGACAGAAGGGATCAGGTTCAGGTTTTATGTTTTATCGAGACATTTTAAGATAGTTAAAATTATTTTAAAATTGTCTCAAAAATTACTGCCTTTGCAATGTTTATCACATTGAGAATTTTGTATCTCATTTGTGATGAATTCACTTAGAAATGATATGCAATTTTTATTTTACATGTAAGTGTAGATAGATTAATGGTCGTTTCAGCAAGGTTGTAGAAACAATCACTACAAGCTACTTTGCAGAACACATCATTTTTACAAGATATAGGACGTTTGTTGTGAAACGACACCCTAAAATCAGCTTGCCTTTTACAATTTTGGCTGGTTATTTTTGGAAATTTTTCGATATTGTAAAAAGTTACTAACTTTAATAAAATACATCATTCCTTCCAAGACGACAAAATAAATTTCCGAAGTTATTTGAGATTTTGTAATACGAATTTTATATTTTCCTTTGATTATTTTGTATTGTATATGTATTTTTCTAACCAATCCTAATGGATTCCCAAAAACTTCTTCTTAGACACTACTTTAATACACCCAACTGTAACGATTTTCTTTATCACTTCTTTTACCTATTAATCACCCAAGAAACAATTTTGGTTTTATCATAGTCTTGAAGACCACGATTTGGTCTTGAAGAATGCTTTGAAACCTTGATAAAACTTGCAACGTTACTTGGGTAGTAAACCCAGGTCAGTCAGTTTTGCGTGTTAACCAAACGAAGCATGGTATTTTTCCAATCAAACTAACTGGAAAAAGTCTTTAAAAAAGCCAGAATTGATTAAAAATTGCATTCTAAAAGTTTAGGTCAACAATGACGCTGTACTTTAAATTACCTTTTCAAAGCTCACAACGATGTTAGTGCAAATTTGGCTGCTTTTGCATCGTACAAGTACGCTCTGAGTGATCGTTTTGCTTTTGTTTTCGTTACTCTGTTTGGTGTTGGGATATTTACAGCACTTAGCAGAAAATGGATAGCTATTAAGCCATTGATTCTACGTGATATTTGCAGCTTGTCAAAATACGTTATGTAAGTGTTTTTGCAACTATCATTTCATGATAAGAAAGTTGACTGATTTAGTGTGATTTGACGATTCCTTTTATATATAATCAATGGCAATCAATCCCAAGTATCAATTGTGGATTTATGAGGGTAGACCATGATTTACAGTTGTAGAATGCTTTAAAACCTCTATAAAACTTACTATGTTACTTGGAATGTGTAAAGAAGATTATAGCGAGTAAATCAGTTGCGTAGAAAGTGAATCAGATTGAAGCTAAAACACTAAGAATGGCTGTTCTTATGATTTTATGGCCTTACCACTTCGAAATTTTGATCGACAAAAACTATTAAGAATTCGTTTGCGAAATCATAATCACACTTTTGCTACACGTCAGCATACGTGTGATTACAATTTCCTCTACAAAATAGTTATAGTGTCTAAGATTCGTGCCATCAAAAATTAGAAGTGGCGATGCAAATCTGCCATTATAACGGCCATTTGTGAATTCTATAAACCTTCACCATGTTGTGGGGCAAAAATTCAGTAAAATTTTATGTATTATTTTTTTTTTTGCCGGAATTAGTTATCAGCTGCGAAAGCCGTCATTTACCCCAATTAAAATTATCGCATCTTTATTAACTCTTAGTTTGGATACTAACAGGATACAATTGAAATTCGATCAATATTTGGAATACAGCCGGTTGGGAGATGCTTGAATGTTTGTTTGTACCAATAAACAACAAGCTCAAAAGTCAATGTCTTCATAGTTACACTGAAAAAGATAAGCTTTAATCGTCGGCCATTGCCTAACATCTTTTTTGTACAATCTTGGCCTAAACTACCGTTGTATCCATAAGAATTACATAGCACATGGGATAGTTATGCGTACAGCGGCAGAAACATTACTTGCTTGATTTATGCTTAACCCAATCTTGAAATATAAAACTATTTTACAGACCTGTGATTTGAAATAAATTACTGCATGTAGAGAATGAAAACAATTTATTCTTTCCCTTGATTTGTTTTCCGTACTGAGTACCAATGCTACTGAAAACAGGAAGGCAGCTCCCACACCTGGACCCTACCTATGGATCCATCAACTCATAGACCGGGGACCAACGGCTTTACTTCCCGTGATCAGAGATGTTATGCCTCAGAAAATCCCTACAGCGCCGACTGGGATTGAGCCTTCTTTGTTAAATTACTTCTGGTTGTCTGATTATTATGCGTACTGCGATACGAATCCGGCATAAGCGCCCATTTCCGTTATATCGAACAGGAACATTAAATATATCAATTATTTCGATCAATCATGCTTCGATACGGTAGTTTAGTTCCAAAGCTACATAGCAAAGTCTTTAAAAATACATATTATGAATATGTACAGTAATGTCCTGAAATAATTTCACATAACCGGAATTCCAAATCTTCATCTTCATCTTCAAGATGGATGTTCAAGGTATGCTTGAATGCAACAAGATCACTGAAAATGCGGATGGAGTTCGTAGAACATTACAAGATATTTTCAAAAAGGGAGCTGACAAAATCGGGGCATTACTGTATTTACATCGATCCTTCTCTAAAACAAAAGAAGTGCCCCTTGCGTATCAATTTTTCTCTCCCTTCATTCGTATGCCGAAATGAATTCAATGGCATTTCACTGTGTTGTGATGGATTTGGAGTCTAGAAGCGGTGTTAGATTTTTATTAATATCCCAACAGTTTGTTACTCTTTATCAAAGCTAACGGTATGCATGGAAAGGTTAATAAATGTTGAAGTCATCTTTGATAGAAACATATCATTATTTGTTCAAACTCGATCGTAAGATAAAGGTGTAAAGTGGGGGTTGTGCTTAGTATGAAGGAAATCAGATCTTAACCCTGCAAGAAAATTAGTTTTCTGATCGTTAGGATTTTTTGGAATTCATCTCCACGGACGATGAGACCGACTCAATTTAGCAAAAAGATAATTTGCTCACAAAGTGAGTAAAGTTTTCCTCGGTTTTCAGAAAAAAAAACTTCTCGGATATAGAGAGATGTCACTCAGCCTATTACGTCAGGATCCTGTGTCGTTTAATATGCTAAACATCATGTCAACATCACCCCATCTGCCATAATTTTAAACGTGCGCGGTGATCAAAAAAAAAAAAATTAGTTGTTTACTGATATCACTTTTTACCGGATATTACTTTATACCGGATTATTTAAGCGATATTTTGATTTTAATCTGAATAACCGAGACATACAATACCATTTTCAAACATGTTTGATCATTACGGATAGAATTTTTATTTCTCTGGTGTAATTTTATGTTAATTTTTTACTCTATGCAATTTTTTTTAAAACATTAATTTGACATAAAAATCGAATCGAAAAATATAATCAATATATATTATTTGTAACCATGTGAGAGCACTTGCAAAAATCAAACAGATTCCAAGCGTAAAGTTTCATCAACGTGACATGGTGATGTTAGTTTTCGTGGGCGAGCTATAAGTTTCGAAAAATTGACGTTTGCATCATTCTTCAGAAAACCATTTAAAGCTATTCGACAATTTGTTCCAGAATTTAATAAAAAAGTTGGAACACCCTGATTGAATTTTTCATTATCTTTTTGGAGGTCATAAATTTTTCAGTGATCTGTATTTTTGATAAAGATAACATGTTTTAATTTATAATTTCCATAACAGTGTTCCTAGTTTATTTTCTAATAAATCAAATAGAATTTTCGTAAAATGTTCGTTGATATTTAAAGCAGATGTAACTAAATGATAAGTAATGATAGATATTTTCATATATTTTTCCGTTAAAAGCGTTAGTAGAATTGGATTGAAATAGAGCTCCAAGCAACCTACTTATCCAACAGATGTCTACTATAACACAATAATCACTCGATTACAATCCTATTCTCACTTATACGATATATTAGAATAATCATAATAATATAAATTACCACTTACATGTTAGCCCTTCTGTGCACTCAACTAGTTTCTACCCGTACGTTTAACATATTCGTAGCTAATAAACTTGGACTCGTTTAAACTTCCAACTTAGTTCGTTTTCCGTCCAAACTATTATTAGTACGAGTCCAAAACAATGATTATTATTACAAGTTTTTTTTTGTGAGAAAACCAGACCCATCAACCGGAATTAATCATAACACAAAGAATAACAAAAAATATAATGAAAATTTGAAGAGAAGAAAGAAGCTATGCCAAAAGAGTAGAAGCCAATTAGAAATACAGAAATAATTCTATGTACAGAAAAATAAAGGAGCAACATAGGAATGTAAACGAAAGGAAAGGAAAATTTGAAATTTGGTGTTACCTAGAGACGTCATTTTCATAAGGAGTTCTGGATTTCTAACGCGATTCGGAACAAAGAATAAACGTGTTACACTGGCCGATCGAACGTACGTTCGACGTGTTCTGCGGAATTGCTCCGCTTGTTCCTGGTTGAGAGTTGAGAGGTCTGCTTCTTGACTTTTATCTTAATGCACCGTTCAAACAGGTCACACACTCGTTAATACATTGTTCTCCGTAGTTTTATCAGGTTCAAACAGTTGCTGTTGCGATAACGTCATTTTTACGATCATATCAAGAGCACAAAGAGTAAGCGGTATTATACTGTAGCACTGTACCGCCCCGTGACAGGTTGGTTGTTGTAAATCTATGTAGGCAGAATGGATGTACTCCACTCGGTCGTTGGGCCACCTTCAATTGATTCATTCACATTTCTCTGCTCCGAGTAAGGTTAATTGGCTCTTCTCGTTACATTTTCTCTTCTGTATCAGGAAGCAGATTTTCCTCGCATTCGCAGTCACTTTGTAAATATTTTGATAAACTTGAAAGTGGAATCACTTATCGCGGATGCATTCTCACCCGAGTTCTATCACTTTTTATTCTTCCCAGGGCACACAATTGATACTGCGATGGAAAGGTCACTCTCTCTAATAAATACTACTATGCTGGAACATGGACAGTTTGATTACTACACTATTATATGTACTGCGGTATACTAGCTACGTTGCATCTCGCTGCTCCTTTCAAGGTTCAACAACTGATAAAAATACATCTGTGAGCTGCACACTATCTTCGAACACTTTTTCTTCTTCTTGTGGCGAAGAAATCTAAGTAGTTGATGAATCACTTTCTGTGGTATCCTTAGTAAGAAAAATGCATAACATAAGAGCTAGCGAATCCCTTGAGCTCTCGTTGAAGATCCGCTGCAGTCGGGGTTTTATACGAAGATGATATTTGCGCTGGCAGTGTTGATTACTAAAAATGAACGACGGACGGTTCTTCAGGACAAGAACAAGACACTTTGATTTTCTTTTGTTTTACTTTGATCACATTGGATAGCTGGCAGTGATTGTAACTATTTAATATTATATGAGTTTGATGCACTTTTGACTCCGTATCACAACAGGATTCAGTCTTCTTGGTGAGATCTGTTAGACTTTCGTTCGGCTTTACATTGTAACGGTGATGTTGATCTGCTCACGACGGTCGCCAGCAAAACACTGGTCGACGACAAGTTTCCGGCATCGTGTTTAATTTTCCCACTTGCTACACGTTAATCCATATTTTGATTTTTTTTTCCGTCAGCCGAACTGGCACTTTAACGATCCACCTTCACTTGCGTGACACTTTTATTCGATGCCGTACATCACATCTTGTTTTCCTCTCTTCCAAGGATAGTCCTTTGATGCACTCAACTGTACACTCACGGTAAATAATGTTGTTTTTGTAAACTCACTCTTTATAAAGGGAAGAATATTTTTCTGTTTACATCCCACACTTGCGAATATACTACGAAGCACAATAACACTAAATACGAGACTGATGGTTTAAGGTCAATGCCGATCAAAACCACGAAGATGAGTCGCTTGAAGATACGATGGTTCTTCAAGGATAACTGCTTTCTGCAACAAGTTTCCCGTTATTAGCATATTTGCTGATACTTCCGGCTCGCCTCTTGCGACATTAGACAGCATACTTTAGATTGAATTCCTGTTCAATCTCACTCATATATCACTCCCATGTAACCAAGTCGTTGAACCTCGAGTTCATTAATCCATCACTTAAAAACATATTGCTTAACACTATCGTGAATATATATAGGAAGCACGGAAACTAGGATACGAAACGATGAAGATAGAGAACAACGAAAAGTTTGTGTTTTCATCTCGTGGGATTAAATCGAATCCAGGGACCGAGTGATCCCGGAAGGAACACCGCGAGTATCCACACGGGTTGGGAACAAGAAAAAGTGCGCGCGGAATTGCAAAGTTCGTAGCGGGTCGGAAAAAACGTGTACTAATCGAAGCAAAGTAGGTTACCAACTGAACGAAGCTGAGTCAACCGGGGCCCGAACGAGGGTCCAATAACAACATTCGCCGATCGTGTCTGAAAGCGTTGTGTAGACGAAGCGCTATGCTTCTATGCTCGTCGCTGTCCCTATCGTCGTCATCGTCGACGTCGTCGTCTCTGTTGGTCGTGGCTTGGTTTGTTGACGTCGCGCGAGAAAGAGAGTGCAATCGGTGAGAGCGTGAGCTTTCGAGAGAGTTTTTCCCGTAGTGAGGAAATTTCTTCACCCACTAGTGGCTTGAAGCACATGATGCAGCCACCCAGGTATGTATGCTGCTGCACGTGTGCCTGTGTTGGTGCATGAGAGGAGCCGGCCTGGGTTAGCTCGAGAGTGAGGAAAATCAGGAAGCGAAATTGGATGGGAAAGAGAGAAATGTTCTATATATCGAGTGCTTTCTTCTTTTTCCTCTTGTTTAGAGCGATGCGAATGAATTCAGTGAGTTTGTGTTGTCACGATGAGGCGACGTTGGTTCGTCAGGAAAAGTGGGAAAGCTTGCATACCACCTTGGTGGGAGTTGAAATGGAAATCAAGCAAAAACACATGTTATCGAAATAGGCAAAATTGGGACGGGATTGGAATTTTCCTTTGTTTGCTATAGAAATGTTATTGAATTTTTCTTAAAGAATAAGGTGCTAACGCAACTTATTGATAGTTTTTTTTATCAATATTCTATAACCAACATTTCATACTTTCACATTTGCAACAAATGTCTCAAATCAGGCAAAATTTTCATTGCCTCGAAAAAAGACCCTGTGCAAAATTTAGACTCAATCGGATATGATTTAAAAGTGGAACAATATCGACAAAATTTGATTTTTTTTTGAAATATTCGGAAAATCATCCAATGAAATTTAGGTTTTTAAATTTTATTTGTTTATGTAAAATTACTTAAAAATGCATGAAACGTCCAGATCTGATGTTTCCATTAGATACTTTATGTGCATTTATCACTAGAATAAATGGGGCTTCCCTTAGCTCAGACGGTAAAGGCGCAGCTACAAAGTAAGACCATGCTGGAGGTGGCTGAGTTCGATTCCCGGTTCGGTCTAGGAATTTTTCGGGTTCGAAAATATATCAACTTCAGTATGATTGTATTTGCCAAACACTTATACGAAAGCAAAAATGGTACAGGCATTGAAAGCTCTCAATTATAATAACTGTAGAACTGCATCTAGAACACTAAGCAAATATGCGATATGCAATAAGCTTGAAATGCGTGGAAGAAGATGAAGAAGTAAATCGAGTGAAGGTTAGTTGCCTCTTAAGATAAGGTTATCTCCAGGACGCTAGAAAAAAGCAGAAGAAAAAAAGAAATCATATGATTGATCGCGAATATCTCGCGATTGGAAAATTTTAGCAAAAAATTAGATCTTCTTACTACCAGATGGAATTCGATTTTGAAATCTGTGTTAGGGTAAGCGCTTTTTGGCATTTGTGTAATTTTCAAAAGTGACCCATTGAAAATTGATAAAGTGATCTTTTAGCATTTTTTTTGGTAGAAAAATTTCCAATCGACTGGCTTTCTTAGAATTGAAATCCATCTGCTATAGGCAGTGGTTATAAGTGGTCAAAACCTGAACACTTTTCGTAACGCGGAGATTAGTAACAAGAATAGTTTTCATTATAATGTATAATGTATAACATAAATCAAAATACACTGTAGAAGGTGTTTCCGCGGTTTTCCCCACTTTTTACGCGGTAAGTTTTTAACGATTTCTCGAGAACGGTATAACTTAACGGCTTAATTCCAATAATATGATTACGTTTTAAGCCAAAAGTTATCAAATGACGGGTTCAAAAAAAAAAAAATCAAATCCGTGATAAAAAAATATATCAGGAAACAATCTAAAATATCGACCTTTGATCAATTGTATAGATCTTGGACTTCATATAATGTTTTAAGATGCCAAATTTCGAAAAAAAAATAATAATAATAAGATATTTAATATAAGGGAGAATGGAGCGAAATTAGTGCCAAACGCTTACTTACAGTAGCGTGCACAAGTGGAATCGATTTTTTGAGATTTAAAAAAAAAACATATATTTCATACATAACATATTTGGGATTACAGCGGCAGCCAATTTTAATTCTTTCTGTTCCTAAAATTCCCACTGTCTCTGAACGCAGGTTCTTCCGAATTTCTCCAGAAGTTTCCTTTGATCTAACTCAGGTGGTTTCTTCCAATTTCCGCTTTCTTCTGGAAACTTTTCAAACTTCCACAGTATGTTTCTTTCGACCTCTCCCAGACTTTTTACCGACTTCTTCTGGACTCCTCCAGACTAATGCTACAAGTTTTTGCAAACATCTGATATAGGGGAAATGGCTCTAATGTTAGCCTATGGATCTAAGATTGGGCCCATCGCTAAAAATCTGCTATTTATCAATTTTATTTAGATGAACGCGTCATTGGGACGGTACTAATGGATATTTTTGTCGCTATTGAAAATTTAGTCGATTGCTGATTTTATGAATGGACCCAAATTAGGGATATTTAGGCCGACATTACATCCATTTCCCCTACATGTAAATAGATCGCAAATGATGCACATAGAGTCAATGAATATGAACCGTAGCTATCATCATCATCATCATCATCATATGGTTAGACATGTGTCGTTACTTGGGACACTTTCAATTTGTGGTTGATTTAGTAGACCATCTGATCTAAACTCCAGAACGATCTAGGGAACATAGAAAACCTGATATAAATGGAGATAGATCGAAAATGTTGCGCATAGATTCTTGTAATATGTTTGGACATGTTGTCTCAAATATGTTTGGACATGTTGTTTGTTATTATTGTCATAGTTGATTTATTAGATCATTTCGTCTAAACGATTTCTTTTATTTGTTGAAAGCATTAGGGTGGCCCTGAAAATAATTGATATTAATAGACTAACTTTTAAATTTTTAACGTTTTTTTTATTTTATTGAAGCGTTTATTTAAGCCGAAAGCAAGTTCATCACAAAAATATATGTATGTTGTTCAGTTAATTTGTGGCTGAGTTATTTGCATACAACTTTGTTGAAGAAACATTACAGATGATGTTTTATATTTGAAAAATATGCGTCATAAAAGCATAAAAAGTCTGACATTCTCTAGAAATTTGAAATACAAAAGTGAGTACTCAAAAACTTTTTTTTTCAGGAACACCCTGATTAAATTCATTTACTCTAAGATTAAATTATTTAAGAGAGTTGATTTTTGAATATCAACTAGTTTGTGGACCACTCTATTGTTTACTACCACCCAAAGAAGGGACTTTTTAAGCACAACAACTTTACCGAAGACATCAAATGTCTAAATACTATAACAGACAATTGACCAGAGGTGTACAGACTGAACACTTAACACTTAATTGAAAGGGCGTATTTTATAAAGAAAATGCTATGAAACTTATGCGCTTTTCCAGTATTCTTTTGCATCAAAGCATACTTTAAATATCCATCTTAATGGTAAATGAGAAAGATTTGATGTGAAATTATGGAAAGTAAGAGTGGCTGAAAAATTCGGGGCATTACTGTTTATCAATTTACTATATTCGGGAAAAATGCGTATTTTAACAAGTCCTAAACTTTCTTGCAGAGAACTTTCACGATAAATTAGAAAAAAAAAGATTTCAAGCTAAAACTCAACTTTACAGGTAAACTCTAATTAAATTCTGAAAAATTGCTCTAATTGTTGATTTTACGATTCGTGAGCGCTCACTCTGAGTGAAAGTGAAATTGACAGGTTTTATGTTACAAAAACATACTTTACAGCTTCTTCATGTAACTTACAAGTACAACGTATCATTTTAACGTCTAATGATTTCATAATTCTGAAAAACAATGTTTTAAAGCAAGTGATTGGAAGCAACCCTGCGCTACTATATCTAATGATCCTGAACATATGTAAGGTTCCCGTCTTCGTCAAAGTTGCACAGTGGAGTGAACCCTATCAACACACTTTAGAATCGGTGTCTTGTTTTATCATTTACCATCACACGTAATGACTAGTGCTTTGACAGATGTAGATGAACTGCGTTCGCTTTGAAAATCTTCGCTGTCAGGTACAAGTGAAATTAACAAATAATTTCATTACCCATCGACGAATACGCGTTTGTTGATATTCATCAACGATTATGACAACATTGTCAAAATAAAAAGTGATCCGCAAAAAAAAAAACAAATTAATTTTTGAAGAGCTTTGAGTGGGTTGGTTTATTTCCTCTAAATTCCGTTATAATTGCTTATCTTTTGACAGATACGGGTATTTCGTCTACTTCTTGCAGACTTCATCAGTACCAAGTACTCAACACCACTCCAAATTAATTTTGGAAAAAAAATATGACTTTTTTTTTCCTTGATTTGTTTTCCGTCGATCTTGTTTTCCGTACTGAGCACTAATGCTACCGACGCCAGGAAGGCAGCTCTCACACCTGAACCCTACCTATCGACCCGTCAACTCATGAACCAGGGACCAACGCTTAGAGAAAAAAAAATTAAAAAAAGAAAATATATTACTTTGAATATTATCGCCTAAAACCTCAATACAATAATTCGGCAGTAGGCAATAATTTTCCATTAATCCGAGTGTGTAAAGCGACATCACACGTTCTATAACGTCATATTTGTGTAAAATGAAAAATATATATATATATTTTGTATTTGATACTCAAAATACTGTCCTGACTATTAATTATTATTGATATGACAACAATACAGGCGATAATGAACATGCATGCACGAATGAACAAAAACAAATGTTGACTTCGAAACTCAGCGGTTGCCTTTATCGGGAGAATGTTGTTATGTTAACATTCAAAAAATGCATGCAGGTAGTTGGTTTACATTTTAGGTTGCCTCGATTTTCAGCTAATTTGAGTGTAGAATATGTTATTTTTATCAGCACTGGGGTCTCCCTTAGCTCAGTCGGTAAAGGCGCAGCTACAAAGCAAGACCATGCTGGAGGTGGCTGGGTTCGATTCCCGGGCCAGTCTAGGAATTTTTCGGGTTGGAAAATTCCTCGACTTCCCTGGGCATAAAGT